TGCTGGAGAGAAACCATTTGGGGCTGGGGGTTGGTGGGAGGTGGTCGTTTCCTCTCACCCCGCTGCGATGTCACTAGCGGAGCGCTGTGACCGGCGGTGGAGGAAGCAGTGGTGGACTCTTCAGGACACGCCGACGGGCCTCGTGGTAAGATGCAGAGGAAGGGAGGGTGCAATAAGGCTTTGCACTTTCCAGAGCAGCTCCCGAGCAAATTGGCTTACCGGAAAGACCCCCTTGAGTGAGTGAGCAGAGAGGCAGCACCTCCAGTGGTTAGAGCCAGGTGCCAGGACCCCTGGGTTTCCTCCTCACCTCTTCTGCTGACCTGCAGCTTGGCACTGGGCAAGTTACTGTGTCCCAGACCTCAGCATCTGCCTCAAGGAAGGGGCAGATGCGAGCAGATGACCCACGTGGGTAAAGCATGCGGGGCGTAGGACCTCTGCAGGGGTGGCTCTTAGACTTAATGTTTCCCCCTCGTTAATGAGGAGCTGTTTAAATTCAGCCTCTGGGATGACAGAATGCACTTGGCTCCAGGGTCATTCTTACGCCCTGTGGCAGACTTTCCACTTCCCGCTTCCCAATCACTAACGATCCTGCGGCCTGCAGGCGCCGGCAGCCCCTTTGTGCTCGCCCAGTGCAGACCGTTACCGAAGGGAACCATGCACGAGGCTCCCGCTTTCATGCAAAACTTTAGTTTTGTTCTTAAACTGAGAGCAAAGCCATGCATACTGGCAGCATGTGTTTGCTCTTAGTCTTGCCACCGACCTAGGAAGTTATTGCAGTGGAATTGATTTAGGTTCTTTAAATGAAGATAAATAAAATGGACCCAGATTGGTCCTTTTAAATGTATTTTCCCAGCTCCAGCCCCCACTCCCTTGCTTAATGTAGATTGGTAATTTCCCCTTAAAAATATTAGCAAGTCATTCCCAGAGGGCTTGGCTGGCTCAGAAGACCACAAGAGCTATTCATCAAGCTAACCCAGGTCAGCAGTGAGCAAAGACAGTGAGCAGCTGATGCCTGGCTGGTGGCTGCCACTAAATGAGAGTTTCGGCTGAGTTCCTGGTGGGAATAGGCTCTTGCCACAAAATGAGGACTGATCGAAGGACTCAGGCCTACAAGACACTGATGCCCGTGTCTTCGTGGGGCGAGGCACTCCAGACCTCTGCTCACTGTTGTCAGGGGCCTGATAGTGCTAAATGAAAATTTGTTATTGCACTGACTGTACGGAGATGTTAGATGGGGCTCTGGGCACAAAATGCTCTTCCTTGGGTCTGGCAAAGAAGCAGCTACAGCCTGGTAGAGCAATGCCTTTATTTCACCTCATTGCACAAATGACAGTGGTCACTTAAAGAAGGCCAGGCGAATGCTGCAGGCAGATCCCTGGGGAGAGGAGATGCCTGCTCTTTACCTCCACCACCCAGGATGGGTACCTGGGGCAGGAAGGGGCAGGCTGGGGCCACCAGAGTGGCCTGGAGGGGAGGGTTGATTTCCCCCAGGCATCATCGCAGGAGGGCCCAGCAACATCACTGCTCCAGGGAGTGAAAGCAAAGGACAGCAGAGTGCCAGGCCCTGGGAACCCTCTGCTAGGCTCCAGCACTGTGAGCTTCCTTGCAGCAGTGCCCTGGCCCTGGCTGACCTCAGCCACCTCCATTTCCGAACGTGATGCCAGGACGCACTGAATAAGGATTCTGCATCAAGACTTCACCCCCAGCCCATCACTTCCTCCTGCTTTCTCCTCCATCCTCTTTGTTGCTCTTTCATTCTTTACAATAGGAAGTTAAATGGGATCTAGGAGGAGAAAGCCGCCCCAGTAAGGAAGGGGGAGAAGCGAAATCCCAGCTTCCCCGCTACTCTCGTGGGGTCCTGACTTCCATCCGTGCTGCAGCTCACACTGTCACCCATCCCATGCACCGAAGAGCCACCAGACCCATAGCGATGTGGGCATGCCATGCCCAGCCCTGCACAGACACACACTCCAAACTCTGCACCCTGCAGATCTGGGGCAGGAGAGGGAACGTCCTTGTAACCCTCTCTGTTAACACCCCCCACCTGGAGAAAAGGATGCTTGTGTTGTGCATACATCACCCGTGTGCACCCAGCCATGTCCATGTGTGCAAACCCTCTGACATGGCTTAGCAACACCCCCACACCCACCCTGCGCAGACTCACACCTGCTAAAACCAGCTATCAAGAGGGATACATCTATGTCCATGGACATACAACAGGCCAGATTCAGAAGCAGTGCAGTGCATGGTGATGCCTGCATGTCTTCCTGAAGAGCGGTGGATCGGTTCCCCGCACGGGAACGGGCCCGCGGCTAGTGGAACTGCATCCTCTGACATTGGGACTGAGCAGGGCATTAAAAATGCATTTGTTGACTGTCGGATTTGGTTGCAATGCCCAGGGAGAGGGAACTGCGGGGCGCCTGAGAGCTGGGCTATTTATACCAGAGCCATGGGGCTCGTGCAAGGCTTTTGCGGTGCGTGGAGTGATCCAGTCCTCCCTTAATGCATCTAGAGAGGACACACCTGGCTACAGAGGAGGAGGCATGGATCCTGGTGCAAATCCAGTGGGGGTTGCCCAGATTTATGCCCAGTGGTCGGGAGCAGAACCGAGTCGCAGTGGCAGGGCAGCTCCCCATGAGCTCCCTCTTGCCTGGGGCTTCTCTCTCGCCTCGTGCCTTTTCATCCTCCCACCCAGCGTTGCGACCGAATGACAGAGCAAGGAGGGAGGATGAGAAGCAGATGAATAATCGCAGGCGGGGGGGATGGGGGGAAGAGCTCCTGGAAACATATTTAAAATAAGATCTAAAGCAAGAGACAAAAGCTGGGGAGCAGGGCCGGAGGAAAGGGAGGAGGAAACCCCTCGTGGAATGGAAACCGAGGCAGGCAGATTAGATTCTCCAATAATACCGAGATGACATGAAAAGCATAAAGGCCATGCGGCAGGAGGGTGGAGGGGGCTGCCGCCTCGCCAGAGAGGCTGTGTCATTAGAGGAGCCATCAATGGGAAATTGCATTGTGGATTAAATTGCAGGGTAAAAGAGTGCGTGGCGGGGTGGGGGGGGGGGGGGCATATCTGAAATTCAAGTGATTATTGCAGCTGAGGATGAATTAAAATCCCTGTGCGAGCAATTTAGGTCACCGACAACGTGCTTAGAAAGTAACATGCAAGGAGCAACCAGGAAGCAGCAGGAGGCAAGGAGCATCTGTGCCAGAGCCGGCGGGCCGGAGCCGGGTGCTGCGGGCTGATCCGGGGCCGCGGGCAAGCTACAGCCTCCTTCACCCCACCTGAGAGTCCTAACTCTTTCTATTCCCTTGTCTTGTCTGTCCCCGGTCTCCACCGCTCCCTCCCCACTCCTGTACCTGGTGGTGTCCACCACAGGGTTACGGGTTGGGGGCGACAGAGAAGGCATTTCGGCTGAATTAGAGGCAGGGGGTGTGCGAGGCCAGTTCAGCAGTCGGGTCTCCAGCCTCATCAGGGCTCACAACAAAGCTCTGGATGGGCAGAGGTTCTGGTGGACCTGAAACAAGAGGCTTGATCCCCAGCGGGTGCAAGTCAGGGGCATGCTGATTTGCACTGTGTGAGGCTGGTGCCCAAAGCCTTTGCCCCAGGCACTCCCGATAACCTCAAGGAGTGACAGGCTTCTTGCATCGCTTCTCCCTGCTCTTGCCCTGGCTTTGCGCAGCTGTTGGGACACACCTGGGATCTGACAATGTGCACCAGTTGCCCCCTATCAAACGACGGAGCAGAGTCGTGTTTGCCATATGCAGACAGTGCCCAGTAGGCAACAGAAGGGTTTTTGGGGGTCCGGACTCTCAAGGAGCTGTGCAAAGAGGCCCTGCTCTTTGCAGGCCTCGGGATCTGGCTCCATTCCTCAGTGCTGTGAGCGCCCCATAAAATACAGACGGGCTGGAGAGCCCAGACGGCCCGAGAGGAGGGTGAGCCGGACTGGGCTGGTTCATTAATTCTCCAGATGAAGATACTGGACAGCAGGTCAAATATCTGCCTGCACCTCCCTGGCACAAACAGCCCTGAGCATCACCAGGAGACAAGCTATTCTCCCCCTTGCGTGGCCAGCAAGGGTGCTCACATGCCAACCCCGGAGGCAAGGATGGGCACGGTGAGCACTGCCCAGCCAGGGCAGCAAATCCTTTCCCCAGCTTGCAGACTCGTACCCTCTCCAGTAGCTCCCTGCTGCCCTGCACAGCTGTCACCTCTGCTTGACAGCTACGGAACAAGTGGCCAAGAAGGTCAAGTGACTTGCCCAGGGCCACCCACTGCAGCAGTGGCAGAGCACACTCTTACCTTGCCGGAGCCCTGCTCCCATCCCCACACAGGCAGCCTCTCAAACCCATCCACACACTCTGCAATCATCGTAGCCATGGCTCCCTCTCTGACTAACCGTCCCAGCTCCCTGGAGCCACCCCGACAACATGTGGCTGCCCTCTCCTAGGAGCCAGGGGAAGCACGCTGGCTGGAGAGCCTTACTGAGTGGCAGCCAAAGCTACGACACACCAACAGCCCATCAAAACTGACAGGGAGACTTGCAGCCTCTGCAGTGGACGTAGCCCCTGCCCCTGCCAGGGGGACATGGTGCCCTGTTGTACAGGGCAGGTACCACAGCCCCTTCCCTGCCTGGGCACGACATGCTCCTGCAGCTCGAGTACAGTGGCGAGCAGCGCACCAGCGTCCTTGTACCAGCTCTAGAGCATGGGGCAGACCCTGGGGGGCCCCGGGCAAAGCCCTGCTCTTCCCTACACCCTCGGTCCCCTTCACCCTTTGCTGACCAGGGCTGCAGCTCCTCCAGGCAGAGACTCTCCTGCCCTGTGTCTATGCAGAGCCCAGCGCAAAGGACCCCACGGGGCCTAACACCAGCACTACATCCCACAGGCACCAAGTTCATTACACTTCCCCCCTGCTGAATATCCCCACACCCCCACCCTGACCCATGCAAGGAGGATACATCATCCCACTGCAGGGCTGGGGGGCGGGGGTCTATGCTGAGGCCTCAGAAACATGTGCTGCTTGTGAGCGCCATAGGTTTCAGCCGCTGCTTTGATGTTTCTCCCTGCCTCTGGGCCCGTCTGCTGCAGCCTCCGTCCTTCTCTGCAGATAAAAGGTGATGCCTGCAACAGCTTGGCCTGAACGGGTTAAATTCACGCACACGCAGACAGAAGGGAAAAAAAATAAGCTGGAGCGGCGGTGGCCTCATTTCAGTTCCAGAGGAGACACCGACACCCCCCCATGTCAACCATCAGCTCACCGCTAAGATCATGCTCTCGCTGGGGCTTTATTTATCTTCATGCCAGCTTTCTCCTCCCTCCCTCCCTCTCCCACTTCGCCTTTCTCTCTCCCTCTCCCTCTCTCCCCACCAGAAAGCAGCAGCTTGGAGAGATCTGCAGTTCAAACATTAAGGTAATTATGAGGCAGCGGGCGTTTGGGAGGGGGAGTGGGGGCGAGGGGGAAATGGCTATACAGTGTCCTTGCGATGCCCTATTGTCTCACGTCCTAGATGGGGAATTTGGGAAGCTGGGCGCGGGGGGTCCTGGGGGGGTCTCTGGGGCAGGAGGGACTCTGGCCTGGCTTCGGGGGGTCCAGTGGGTGTTTTGATACAGAAGGGTGAGAGATGAGGCGGCTGCATACCTATAGACCTGCTTCTGCATGCATGCACTGACAGCCATGACAGCCACGGCTTGGGCAGCCCAAGAGAAGCAGCTGGCCGTGTCCATGTGCTGTAGCGTCGCTGGGGTTGCTCTCCCCTTGGCTTCTCCCTGATGCTTGTGGACCGGCAGCCAGCTCAGACGGCTCCGCCACACCCTGCGTGGATGTGCCCCATTGTTCTGTCTTTGCACGGACACCTCCTCGTGCCCTGCACATCTGCACATCCTCGTCTTACCCCCACTGTTCACTGAGCTTCTCTGCCGTCCTCCCTTCCCGGTGCATCCTGATCGAGCCATCCCCTCTGCCTCTGTAGGATCTTTGCAAGAAATCTGCCTGCACTGTCTCATCGATCTCGTGAGCCTAATGATACCCACCGGTCCATACTTAGTCTTGCAACACCTCTAGTTCAGCCTATTTTGTGCTAGGACAATGCATCTGCCCTGATACAGCCCATCTAGCCACACACGGGTGTTACCTTCAGTGCTCTTGTTCTTTGTATCACACAGGAGATATGTGCTCGGTGCCATTTTATCTGATTCCTTCTGTAACACTGGGAGCAGGGAGGGAGTTGTGAGGTTGGGAGGGAAGACGCCATAAACCGAGGACAGGCGATATTCCCCAAGATGTTATTCTGCAGCGATTTCAAGGGAGACAAAGGCCCAAGGTCCCTTATGAAAGTTTTCCTGCATTGTAAAAATTAGCTTCAGGCTGCAACCGATTGCAAATTGGTGTCAGTGGAATTTTATCCCACTTCAGACATGCAAGACAGGGATGGAGGCGGCGAGCCAGGCACTGAGATGTGGCTTTGCAGATGAGAATCAATTCCCTTTCCCTGCCATCTCATTAGCTAGTCTTTGTTCAGGCACTTGCAGGTCGACTTAGAGACAGATGGGTGAAAGGGAAGAAAAACCCGGGCCTTGTCTGTGCACCAAAATCTGTTATGGGAAATCCTTTGTGATCACGGTGTCTTGTTGTTACTACCTTTCTGGGGTGCTCCGGGCGAGGTCGGACCCCCTTCTGCTGAGCCCTGTACACGCTCGAGACAGGACCTCTTCCTTTGTTGGACTCTTCTGTCTGGATCGTAAACTCTTTGGGGACCCCCGCCACCACCCTGTGCTGTACGTGTGGACAACCGAGAGATCCAGAGCACATCTACACACTCATTAAGGCACCCTAGTTACTGCACATTAAGTTTAGGATTTGGTTAACCAAGTACTAATTCAACGTGCAGTAACTTGCACTGTTGTGCAGTAGCACTGGTGTGTGGCTTTTTTTGTAATACTTAAATGCTCATTAGCTAAATAACATTGCGCAGTCATGTATTAGCATGGTTTCTGAGCGGCACGTTACCGTGCAGTGTTATTAGGCTACTGCGCAGTAAGTGTCTCGTGTAGACGTGCCCCCGGGGAGGCTGAGTGATGCTCCTGGCAGTCCTTCGCCCTCTGTTTGCTCCTTCCCTGCCTCTCCGTCCTTCCCCCGAGGAATCGGAGATCAGCCTGACAGATGGACAGAGGACTGTGGGGACAGAGAGGGGCTGATGGGGGTGATTTGCATCGCTCCTGCTCTCCTTCGGGCTGTGACGGAGGAGCGGGGACAGCACCGTGGACAGCTCCCGGGCTGGGCAGCCCTTGGGGGGGCGCGGGAGCCCTGGCTCGGATCAGCCTGGCGCTCTCCGCCTTGGCCGCAGCCTTCCCTGGAGACCCCCTGGCCATGCGGTGCTTATGATTTTGGGGGTCAGGGCAGCTGTGCTGCACCCCCAGGCCTGTCCCGGCAGGCCTGCCTCCCGGGGCGGGGGGCTTCATGGGTGGAGCAAGGCATCGAGATGGTGTCTGAGCCCTCGCCATGGTCTCCTCTCTGGTTTCTCTGCCCCGAGCGTGGGTGCTCGTAGCAGGGGTCAGAGGCAGGGATGGCGAATGCCCAGTCATGAGCAGACGTGCTGCTGCTCGATGCAGACCCCTTCCTCCCGAGCGACGGTCCCTGCCCGGTCCGGCCCTGAGTCTCCAGCGCACAGCCTGGTAACCTTGCCAATGCCCCCGTCTGTTTTAGGGAGGTGGGCAAATCCCCATGGCGGGCCAGGCCGAGACCACCAAACTCATGTCGCCTGTGATATGAAGCAGGTAGGAGCTGAGATTCAGAGGCTGCCCCCCCGCCAGCTCCTCACGTGGCCCCAGACGGACCCCAGTGTGCAACTGGGAGTCAAGAGACCTGTGCTCAGCTTGGCTCGTGACCCAAAGTCCTTTCCCCTCTCCGTGCCTCAGTTTCCCCTCTGTCCTGCAGGGATGGTGACCTCTGCTCCAAGAGAGCCGAGAAGCTGCCCGTGCCCCTGCACCAGCTCAGGTCATCTCCCTCTGCTCCAGGCAAAGAGGATTTTCGATGATCAAGGTCTATTTTTAGCCCTGACCTTGAGCTTCGCCTGACAGCTCGTTCCTCCCCGCCACCGACACAGGAGGGGTTTGCTCTGCACGTGGGCCGAGGCCGCGTCCTTCCGGCCCCTGGGAGAGCTGAACTTGCCCACATGAGACCATTAAAGGGAAGAAGGGGACAGGGGCAGAGTTATTTTAATATTTTCTGCCCCTGAAAAGCTGCTCCCTGGTTTTCAGGCAGAGGCTCGGCTTCCAAACCCTGCCCAGTGCCACGCGCTGCACCAGCTCCTTGCTGCAAACCTCTGCACAGAGGGGGTGGACATAAAGGAGGAAGACGGGGAGAGCTGAGTGAGGAGTGAAGGCTCGGGTGGGGAGCAGGGAGGCAGGGTCCCTGGAGGAGCCCACCCATGGCCAGGGACCCAACATCTATCCTCTTCCTGCTGCTCCAAGCTGCATGGACAGGCATGAGACCCTCCTCATCCTGGCAGGGGTATTTATCGCCAGCGGCTTGGGGAGAAGGGGGAAGGGATGGTTTGTTGGTGCACAGAGAGCTCCCTTAGCCCTTGCAGAGCCTCATGCTCTAATTAGGGCCATCGGTAATGTCTAGTTAGTGATTCAGGGAGCCGAGGGGACCAGGCAAATGGAGGATACGGCCCAGGTTGCGCAGAGCCCAGTAGGGTCTGCGTGCAAATGCCTCCCGTGTACAAATGCTCCCAGGGCAGCTCCCCCCTGTTCTGGCCTGGGAAGGCCCCTGCAGTCCCTTTAGACATGGGGTTTGCTTTAAATAGACATTTCTGCTGGAATCAAAGCATCTGAGACACTGGGAAAAAGGGCCTGGACTTGGCCTGGAGCACTGGTCACCCAGCGGTCTCTCGCCTTGAGGGTGGAAACCCCTGAGGCCTGTCCCAGGGAGTTACCAAGGGCACCGTAAGGGACCCAGAAGGCCTCATCAGTGCCTCCCCCAGGGGAAAGGGTCTTCCCCTCCCTGGTACCACCATCTGGGCCACCAGCCCTGCCACAACAGCTGCACGCGCGCTCGCCTGCAACCCGGACCAGCACAAAGGGAGGCAGAAATGGGCCCGAAGAGCCTGGGGGAAGAGGCAAGACCAGTCCAGGCATGGGGGCTGATCTGGAAGGAAGGGAAGACCCTATCGGTGTCCTGTGCCTCAGTTTCCCCATCTGTAAACCAAAAGCCAGGCAGCTCAGTGCGAGGCAGGGAGGTGGGGACGAAGCCCCCGGCCTGTCTGCTTTTTCCATTGAGCGGGTTGGGCACAGGATTGGCTTTGACAGCAGATCTGTGAGCCTGACCTAAATCTGGGAGCAGCGCTGGGGGGCAGGGGAGGGGGAATCAAAGAGATGGTGCGCTTGGAAATACGCACCAGGCCTGCTTAGCTTTTATCTGTCTCCCGCTGGACCTCTCCTTTCCCACCCCCACAGCAAACACATCCACCGCCGCGGCTGCACGGACACATGGCCAGGGCTGCCCGGCCACCGCGGCCAGCAGAGAAGCACCCTTGTCCCCCCCAACTTGCCAAGTGGTCAGACCCTCCTGCAGGGGAGGCAGCATGGCTCAGTGGGCAGAGCAGGAAGCAAGGGCTCCCCGTATGGGGTCCATGCCTCTCATATAGGTCCTCGCTTTGACTCTGCTGAGCTCATTTCCAAAGCTGGGACCTCGCTTACACTGAGGTCCCTGAGGCTGGCTCCGCCAACCCCACACAGCTGCCCTAGAGAAATGAGATGGGAGCTGAGAGCAGGGCCCGGGATGCTCGGTGCTGGGCACAAACACAGCAAGGACCAAGCCATCGCAGGGGCACGGGCTTAGCCTCGCCCCCAGGACTTCTTTCTTGGGGTAATAAAAGGCCAGCTTGCAGCTCCCTTGGAAGGGGGGCCTTGCGGGGAGCTGGGGGTTTAGGAGGTCTTGTGGTTGGGCAGAGACCAGCCAGTGGGCTGGCCTGCTGGCAGAGGCACTCTCTAGGCTTGCAGTCTGACCAGCCAAGATGGACAGAGCGTGGGAGGGGAAACAGAGGCACAGAGAGGTGAGGTGACTCCCCCAAGGCCGCACAGCCAGGCGGTGGCAGAGCCCCTGCCCCTTTAAACAGGACTCCCTCTCACTTGCAGCTGGGGGGTCATCTCAGGGTGGCTTTTATTAAGCCACAAGGGACATCTCGGTCTACGGGGCCCAGTGGAGGCCCTGCTGCAGTTTCCTAAACAAGCATCCCGCTGGCCTCCCTTGTCCTTTAGCAGTTCAGGAAAGAAATAGGTGGAAACCCTGGGCTGAAGTGGGGAGCCCAGGTGCATCCCCAGTATGTGCTGGCACGACCTACATGGCACGTCCTTATGGGGAGGACTGGGACTGGGGCCGGGAGAAGCGGGGGCTAGGAGCAGCCTTTT